TCAATCAAAGGCCCTCAATGACACTCGAACGAAAATCAAGGTCAACAGCATCTACCGGCCCCACTTCGCCAAACCACACACCTCTTCGGAGACACCGACAATTCAAAATAATAAAATGACGAAATTCGGAAGAAGAAAAGAAAAAAAAAAACTGACGCTCTTTTCTTACTCCGTCGCATCTACTCGACTTGGTTGCTTCGCAAGAGTCCAGGATTCGCCTTTCATCTTCTCTTTTTGTCGTTGTTGTTTGGCTTTGTTATTTCAGAAGAGGCGCAGAGATCACACTATTACTTCTTCAAATCCTTTGTTGCCGTTCGACTTCGCCCGCATCCAACCTCAAAGTTCGACTCCGATGTGTTATGTGCCGTCGAATCCCATCCAACTCGCGACATCACTCCATCCCGATGCCTCCGCATGCGACGACCCGCCCCCCTCCGCTACTGTTCGGCTCCGTTACTTCGGGTGCAGAGATTGCACGCACCGCTTCTTCAACTCCCTGTGGCTATGCAACTTCGGCTCCCTCGTCACCATTCAACTTCGTTCCTTTGCTGGAGAGGGAAAGGCTGCACGTGTCGCCTCTTCCGCTCCTTCATTGCTGTCCGACTCCCTTGCTTCGCGGGAGGAATATAGATTACACGACTTACATCTTCGGCTCCTTGCTGTTCGGCTCCGTTGCTTTGCTAAAGGTGCAGAGATTGCACCGTCACTTCTTTGGCTCCTCTCCCCTTCATTATGCCATATATTATATATAATGTAATATGATAATATAATATTATATATATTATATAATCATATTAAAAAACAATATAATATTATATATATATTATAGAAAAGAAAGGGAAAGAAATAAAAAAGGAAATATTTCAATTAGATGTTGAAGACCCTGGCCGTCGTACCTTAGGTCCGACCGGGATGGTTTGAAATTGAAGACCTGCGCCGTTGATTTTTAATCCGGACAGATGATTTTAAAATTTGAAGAACTCGGGCCGTCGTATCTTAGATCCAGCTGAGATGGTTCCAATTTGAAGACCTCACGCAGTAGATCTTAGATCCTGATGAGATAGTTTAAAATCGAAGACCCTACGCCGATAGTTTAAAGGATAAGAAGGGTTTTACGGTGAAATTTCTAGAGACGGGACAATGAGGATATATAAGATACCTATCCCTCCATCTCTCTATCTATTTCTTTGTCTGGCCATCATGCTCTTGCATTGAGTTCTTGGCCACTTCATATGATGAGGTTGCAAGTGCCAGTATCCCTTATTGTTGATGTGGCTACTCCCTTGATGATGTGAGCTCCATTCTTGATGTAGGTCTCTTCTTGGCTTATTGTGCTTATGTGAGTCCACAAGCAACTTGGAGCTCTCCTATGTGGATCAATCTACTTTAATTTTAGTGAACCAGCGCTAATCTACCTTTTAGCTCACCCACTTGATAGCTTGGTCTGATGTGAGAGGAGTCTCCTAGATCGCTAGATGTGATTCCTTAGAATCTACCTTTTTGCGCTCTGAATTTCTCTCTTCTTAGTCTGCTTGCATCAAAATGCAATTTGTGGAAAGTACTAAATAGACTAACCAGCTTTGCCATATTAATGGGATTTGCCAACTGAAATTGGATTAAATGTTAAGTCCAATTCATCATAATTCAAAACAATATTTATTTGACCTCAAAAAATTCATCATATTATAATTCTAAGGAATGATGGTTGGCTATTTATCAACCAACTTTATAGATATACTTTAAGATCAAATATTCTTTTCTTTCAGTTTTTGTTGCATGGAATTGTTTTGTCTTAAGTATAATGATGAGTTGTGTTGGTACTACAAATTCTGTAACAAAATACACACATTCACAATTTATATGAAAGATTTCGAACAATGACACACATACAAACCACCCTAGCTATAACATATTATTACGTTGAACAAGAATAGAAAATTTACAATTATAGAATGTTGATACTAGGTTCTCTATACAACGTGCAAATTGTCATTCTTTTATGGGTGAAAGAGCGTTTTCTCGTCTTTGGTTGTTGTACATTAATTTTCTTGGGTTTGGCAAATCAATTGAAATCTTGCTCACTTATTTAATTTGATCTAAACCTAATAAAATTTCTTGATTTTCATTGATTTGCAGATAGCAGACCAAAACTTGTTGCTGGTTCAGTTGAAGGTTATGTTGGTCATGTTGATGGTAGGCCACGGGAAGCAAGGATGAACCGTCCGAAGGGACTCACAATAGATGATAGAGGAAATATTTATGTTGCAGATTCATTGAATATGGCAATTAGAAAAGTTAGTGACACTGGTATGCTAATGAAAATCCATATTGTAGTTATTTTTTTCATTTGTGGATTTTATTTACTATTTCTGTTTCAAAATTTTTAGTTTGTTTCAGTTCTTTCAATTGAACAGTCTTGTGCATGGGATTCTATAAATTTCATGAGTTATAGGTTTAATGGCATAATGCACATGATATGAGCTAAAATTACCATTACAAAAGTGATGGACCGGTTTGGTCCATAGCAACACCGGCCCTTAAAGGGCCGGTTCTCACTTACTGCAGGCGGAGAACCCGCCTGCCTGGGCGGACAAGCCGAAGGGGGGAAAGCTCTCGGGTGGGCCCCTTGGGCCCACCAAATTGAAGAGAAAGGTTGTGGTGTTTGCCCTAGGGGTAATGAGGGGATTTTGAGGGGTTCATGTGAAAGTTAAAAGTGAGTTAGGGTGGCTTTTTGGATGGATCTCATTTTGGTGGCTGTTTTAGTTTTCTTTTTCTCTAGGGCTTGGGAGAAAGCTTCTCTTCTCGAATTGAGAGCATTGCATCCGTGGAAACTTGTAAGTCTTTTAATATTCAAGTTATTGAAGTGTTTGTGAGTGTTTTCATCCAAGGAAATTTCGCATTTTTCCATCGTTTTTGGGTTGTTTTGCTTGGATTCCGAAAATTACAAATCAAGGTCCATCAAAAAGTTAATGATATTGATGTCAAATGGATCTCAAAGCACTCTAGTTTGGATAAACATAAGTTTACAGTTATCGTGATGGGGACATCAGATCAGCGTGGAAGGTTTATCAGAAATGTGGCCGCCGATCTACGGCCACGATCGAGTCCTTATATTTTTGAGTCATGGTTGTATTTTATTTTATTCATGTATTTTCTTATTTGCTTAGGTGTCGTTATTATTTCCCTTTGTACCCCTCTTATGGGAGTTGTCGCATGTAAGCCCAAAGGGCATTTGAGTCTTTATTTCTTTGAGTCCATTGTACTTGGCTATATATAGCCCTTTGATTATTATTTCATGGTTAATGAATGATTATGATGAAATTTTCCTACACTTGTGCTTGAGAGCGTTTGAGAGTTCTTGGAGAGAACGTTGGAGAGATCCCTTGGAGAGGGAGATTTGCGCATCACCCACCAACCTTGGATACAGCCGGGTTCATGATTTTCTCTTTGTATTTTCGTCTTCCCTCGCCACCTTCCATCATTCGTCTTCGTCACACCCAACTCCACCAAACTTCCCTCAACTTCCTCCAACACCAAGCTCCACTAAAATCCCCCATAGCCTCGGCCACCTCCACCCGTCCCCAATTGGCCACCGGCCCCAACCCCCCTTGGTCTCCTTTTATTTATTTCCTAATTTGGAAAGGAATTAATTAGGATTAATTTGAAATTTGAATTCAACCAAATTTGAATTTAAATTATTTCCTAATTTGGTTAATCTATTTTAGGGAAATATTTGATTTATATCTAATTTTGAATTTTAAATTCAAGAGGATTTAAATTAACTATTTCCTAAATTTAAAACCTAAATTAGGAAGCCTTTAATTGCTATCATCAATCAAACCCCAACCCATGCATACCGCCGGCCCCCATACCCTCTCCCATTAATTCCCCCTCAAATTATTTCCTAACTCCAACACCTTAAGAAATTTTTCAAAATCCCCAAATCCCCTCCTACCCGAATTTCCCCTTTACCATAACCAGCCAATTGATTTCCCACATCCAGGGAAATTATTTCGGATTTCCAAATCCCCTCTTCAGCATCCCACCGCCCCTCCCTGGACATCTCTCTCTCTCTCTCAAGTTACCTCTCCACCATTGGTGCTCTAGTGAATCTAATTCTTTACTTCTTAATCCTTCAAGTTCTTCTTCCCTCCACACCAAAACTAAGATTTCCTCTCAGATTTTTGAGATAAATCCAGATTTATTTCAGATTGTTGAAAAGGGCAATTTCAGATTTTTAGGGGAAAACTTGGAGTTCATTCGTCGCCGCTACTTGAGAGGTGTACCTTGTACCACAAAGATTCTACTTCCCTTCATCCATGAATGGCGGATCCGGAGACTAACTACGGCATCACTTGGGACGAAGACGGCTACGTAGATATCCTACAATCTACATTCTTCGACGTGAACCCAAGAGTTGATTTCACCGTCGAGGATTACTTGGAGCGCACATTGATATACTTGGTGAAGGCTTCGATAAACATTTTTAAGACATCGAGTGGAGGATCTCCACGTCGCCCTAGCAAAGGTTTCTTTTTCCCCTACATCTTATTTCTTTAAATCTGAATTCTCGTTGGTTTGATTACAGTCACAGAGGGCTCTTCCACTACTCTTGCTCAAAGCTTAGTAATCATAGGAATGGAGCGTACTTTCTATGCATCATAATTCTCGTTGTTAGATTAGGGATTACTTTGAAGCCTACTAGTTTGTGTTGTTTGATTTTCTTATTTACTTTGAAAGCTTCAAAATTCAGAGCATGTAATTTTGCCTAAGCAAAACATCTCCTTATTTGTTTTGAACCTTCGTTGAGAATCGCTAGTAATTCTATTCTAAAATTATTCTAATCTAAAAGTTGTGCAATGCCTAAATGAATCCATAAGCACCATCATCTAAGTAGTCCTGCATCATATCGACCCCCATTTATTACTTTCCCCTGTTCGTTGAGTTCTTCACATTTGTCTCAAGAAGATGACCGAATTGGTCCTCCCTAATTTTTTTCTAAATGGCTAAAATAATTTCTGATTATATAAAAGTACCAATTTGATTAATTTGCTCTTTAAAAATGAATTAAATTAATTCTTATGTGGGATCATTTAGATCTTTGTTTAAAAGGTTAAGGGACTAAAATGAGACTTTTAAGTAGTTGTGGACCATTTTAGTTATTTGTAAAATGTTAATGGATCATTTGGTTCTTATCGCCATTTGCCTCTAATGAGGTGCCATATATGGTAAACTACTTGTTTTTTGATAGTTAAATGCATCCTCTTCTCACCATATTTTTTTTCATGCCAGGGTCTACTACTCCACCTACTTTGTCTCTTCCTTACCTAAATCTTTGGTGTCATCATAACTATGATAGGCCTGCTTGCTTCATACGGTCAAACTTCATCAGCTGTTGTGGGTTGGATTTTACCACCCTTCATGTCTGATGGCTTTTGATCTCGTTCTATCCTCCCACACACAAGTGATCTTGGAGGCCCTAACATAGTTAGCTTGCAAGGCTTGCATTGATGCACAAGGAGCTGTCGTGGGCTGGATTTGACCACCCTTCATGCCTTCTTCTGACCCTGTTCTATACTTCCCCACACAAATGATCTAGAAGACCCTAAAGTAGAAGAAATTATTCTGTGTAAACACCGGACGGTCTGGAGACCAACTAGAACGCGTCACATCACCCAACACCGAGCAAAAAAGTGACCTGACGCGTTCTGGTTGATCTACGGATCCCGTCCAGCATCCGCACAGAATAATTTTTCCAAAAATAGTTAGCTTGCATGGTTTGCATTGATGCGCAAGAAGCTGCAGCAAGGAGGTTACATGGAAGGCTACAAGTTCAATAAGAAAGTTCTCCACAGCTCATTCACCCCACGCTCAAATCCACTCCATCAAGGAGGGTTACCGCTAACCTTGGGATAGGGAGGAGGATTAAACTGATTTTCACCACTTTAGTACTATTTTAGAAGCTCGTTTAAAGTTTTTTTCAAGTTTTTATGTTATCTGGTCCTATCTTGTAATAGTTGTGAAGGTTCAAACTTGCTAGTTGGCTTGCTCTTTCTTTTTATTCTCTCTCTTATAGTGGTGCAGGTGTCTAGACTTGGGAAGCTTGCTATCTTTCTCTCTTTCTTTTGAACTGCACCACTAATGATCTATCTTTTTCTAGTACTAGCACCAGTGGAAGCTGCAATTTCCTCTACTACCTTTATCTTTATCCAAAAACACTACAAAGCAAGAATTAAGATTATCCAAACTGTCCAAAGCAAAAGAAAGAGAAGATACAAGGAGCAACAGTAGAAGTGCCATCTCCAATCAAGTAAATCTTATTTTTTCTAGTTTATGCATGCAGTTCTGATAATAAACCTTAATACTTCTACATGACTGTCATTCAGTTTCTTAAGGTATTAAGCATTCACTAAACCCTAAAAACCCTATATGCCTTAGTTCTCCTATATGCCTATCATTCCCTTTCCTAAAGCATTAAGCATTCTGCATTCACCAAAAGATGCTTTGCCTCCCTTTTGCTTCATCACTCTTGGCTGACCCCGATAAGAACTAACATATATTGGTGGAAGCTTACAAGGTATTTAACCCTAAAGCTTATTCTCAGCAGGAGCCCACCCTTTGACTACCTTTTACATATACCTATATTCCACTACGCAGGCCTTAATCCTAAACCTTTGTTCCGTTGTTATTTGTAACTGACACTAGCTTTTTGATCTTGGATTATAGTTTGGTGCTAAAGCATAGATCCAACATGTTTTGGTCTACTGGAACCACCCACTTCGATCAATAAGTCAAGATTTTGATCAGATACGAAGTCACTCGTGCTCGATCTAGTGGTCTTTTTATGGGGATTCTATCTATCGCTGCAGGATCCCTATTCAAGATCACTGCAGTTCCTCTTCGGGCGGCTGTAGGACGGACGGCCCCCTATAGGTTGTAGGGTAGGATGGGTGGTACCACTCAGATTGAGGCCAATCCTCCTAACTGCACAAACGAGAAGAAATCAGCAATCTTGTTTAGCAAAGCTACAAGAGGAGGTGGCTAAGGCCCTTGGATTTCAAAAGGTTGAAGAGTTTGATTACTTGGGGGTGCACCTTGCCATGCGCAAGTTGATTCGGGCAGATTTTGATGAGCTAAAAAGCTAAGAGCAAAGTGAACGGGTGGGGAAATCGTCACCTCTCTGGGCGGGTTACTCTCATTAACTCCTCACTTCTGGCCTTATGGTAATACACACGGAAGTGCCCCGTGGGGGCTGGCTGAAATTGGCAAGATTGGGACAAAGGTCGAAACCAAAGGGGACTTCATTATGTCAGCTGGGAGGATATACCACGGAGGGTGGCTTGGGGTTCCATGCTGCTGGAACCTGGAAGGGACCTTTGAGGGCTTACCAAGGGGAGGGTGGACGAGTATCGAAGAGGGAACTGGTCTATTTTGAAGGATGGTGCATAGAGCCTGAAAAGTATCTTCTCACAATGGATCTCAAAGAAATGGGCATTTACCCAAGGCACAAAGCTGGAAGTCAGAAGGCCCGTACTACCTGCCTAACCCTTCGCTCCTAGGGACCGTAGAGTAGAAAGCGCTTCTAAAAAACTCGGCAGAAGGGAAGGGGCCTATGTATTTGCATGACCCCTGCAGATTTTACCCTACCTACACCCGGAGCCAATCCCCTAGCGGTCCTGCCACCACGCCGCAGAACGGGAGCTCGTGTGGAACCTTGGATTTCTGGCGTCACAGCGGTGGAACGTCAAAAAATCTGACGGCCGCGTCACATAGGGGCCTACGCTACGGGTAACTCAGCCAAAATATGGACACCCAAAGGGCCCGGCACGCACTATCCTATCCGAGCCCGTCATTGCACTTTGGACAGCCGTCCGTAGCATCATAAGGAGCACCTCCTAGGTACAAAAAGGGTACAGTCTTTCTTTGTGTTGTTGGTTGGCCTTTCTCAACGTGGTGTATAGCACGAAAAATGCCCACCTTCGTGAGAATATTACCGAACGATTTTCTATCCCTAAAATCTTTAGGGAAAAGGGTGCCACTGCTTGCTTACGACGGAACGCATCACCAATGAAACGTTGGACTTAGTTGGAGAGGTAGGTGTTCAACATGTCCCTTGCTTGCTCCTTTCCTGGCTTGTGGACCATGACCTGCTACTCAACACTCGGGACCTAGCCCTTCTGTCCACTCAAACTATCGCTTTTTCTGCTTCCCAACGACTATGACTCTCGCTCGCTGATAGGATTGTGAGACCGCACCACTTGAACAAGGAAGAGGGCTCCCTCCTTGATTGAACGAGCTCAGATCAATCTTCCTTGTCTATGGTTGAGTCAGACAAGAGAAAAGTAGATCTGTCATGGCATGGTCCACAGATCTTTGATCATTGAGGTAAGGAAGGAAAGTAAGCGCTTCCATTCAAAGATTCGAGTTGAGGATGAACTAGAAATTCAAGTACGCTTGCCTAGAGTAGAGGTGTGTGCGAGAGAAAAGAAAAATAGCAGAGCCCTCGAAAAGCGGGAAGAGAGGCAGAATCACAGTGATGGGAAGCAGTGAGGGAAAAAGGAGCTGAGGCTCGATCAAAGACAGGGAAAGGGGGAGTGTGAGGGGGTGCGGATTGCCACTCGGATGACTAGTCCTTCATCATGAGTCACGACCATAAGCAGAAAGATACTTTTCTAAGGCGGGCAGGCTCTTTGTGTCAAAACAGTAAAGAAGTAACCGTGGCCAACAAGATGAAATGAAAACTTCCAGCTGCACTTTTATCAATTATTACTGAACAAACCTCAATTTATTTGGATATGATCATTGATTTATCATTAGCACTATGGTGGGTAGATTTTGATGACCTAATTCATCTTCTTATTATATGAAAGATAGAATTTCAATGTATCTCTCTTCAAGCCTAGTAGAATTATATAATCTCTATATGATATGTGTGCTCATGTTAGTGATTTTGTTGTGGTTGTTTGTTTATTTTCATATCTTTTACTCATCATTATTGTATTTTAATAACGGATATCACTGTTTTTGGTAAAAATAATTTCATATTCGAGCAATGGAAGACAAGAAGTTCAAGATTAGTGAATTTGAATACTAAAATTTTCAATATTAGAAGTTAAAAATTGAATATTACCTCTAAAATAGAAAGTTCCATCCACCTTTGTGAAGGACAAAACAATCCTCAGTTGATCAAAGGAGTGATAGCTAATGGATATTGAAGCACTAAGTGATTTCGCTATCCATGACCTTGAAAGTTGCCTTAAACATTCTCATTGAAACAACAACTGCAAGTTTTATGAAGGAATTATGAAACATGTATGAGAAACTCTATGATATCATCTTGTTACATCTTATGCACAATTTTTTTTTTATCTCAATATCTTTGAAAGAGCTGTTTTTGTTGAGCACGTCAAAGAGCTTAACATTGATGATAAAATATGTGAGAGAAAAATGCTTCATTCTTGTGCTCCTGTTATATTTTTCTCTTAGATAGTGAAATTCTCTTAACACGTTGCAATAGTGGATGTAGGTCACATGATCATACCGCTTAATCCTTATGTTATTTATGTTACCTCATTTTTCATGTTGCATTGTTGCTCTACCTTGCACAATATCCTGATTACAGTCCCTTTTCATTTTACATCTTTGAACCTTTAATTCTCAAATTGCTTTCTTTTAAGGTGAGAGCGAATTTTCACCATTCACAACTAGGATGGTGTAGTAACACAATTAGCATAATGAAGCTTAATGTTGTTAGTGTCCTCATTCTCAGTAAAAGATACCTGACTACCCTCAAATGATGAAATAACTTCTTTTGTTTGGATTGAATGTTGATAAAAGGAGCGCAACCCATCCTTTATGTGCTTGAATGTTGATAAAAGGAGCGCAACCCAAACTAAAAATAACTGCTTATACGTGCATGTTGGCTGATAGAGTATGTCCATTTATGGTACTGACATGGGACGTAATGTACCCACTCGCATGAATTGAAAAAGGTTATGAAAAAAAAAAAAGAAATGAAAGTACCTTAATTGATACTATTTATATGATATTTCTTATGACAGTTGTATTAGTTATAGAAAGTGTTAAGACAAGATATGATATATATATATGATTGATAGTCATTTTCAAATATAAATGTTAGTAAATAGAGTTATTTAATATTTTACAATAAGCATGCATATGGTTCAAAATGCCTTGTATTTTTGTAATTTAGTAGTATGGCATGCTCACCAAGTTGTGTTATGACTCACCCCTATATTTGCAAATGTACACAGGAATTATTCGAATACTTTAAATGAATGAAAGAGGGAGAGAGTGTATATTATCGACACAATGTTACAAGAGAAATGTATTTATAGTATTTTATTTTAGAAATAAATTTGAGATTTTAGTTGCTCTTTTAGTATAATGGAAATATGTTATTGTTTAAAATCTTAGCAAGTCAAATTTTAATCAATCGTCCGACTGTTTTTTTCCGACTCAATAATTCAAGCTTCCGGTCCATACTGTGACAATCTCTTACTATTCTTTAGAATCCTCCTTATATCTTCATGATTTACTATTCTATAATTGAAGCTCTTGCACCAACATACGTTCAACTTCTTTTGAAGGGTGTCTGATTGTTTCTCCAATTCTTGATGCTCTTTTAACATCATCTCATGCTAGCTTATCATCATATAAATCTAGTTCATCTTTAGCTTTTGAAGTATTAGGGGCCTTCTTTAAAATAAGAGAAAAGTGCTCGCCACACTACCTGACACCGTAAGGTACTATGCTCACCTTGGTACCTCTTAATAATGGAACCCACTTAGTAGGCATGAGAGGTGCTATGTCCTCGCCTCACTTGAGCCCCTAGGCAAGTACCCAACTCACTTTTAACATCAATGGGTTTTTTTTTCTTTAGATGACATTTTTTTCTTGTCTATAGTATAACCTCTTTGTGATTTTGGATTTATTATTCTGTGCGGAGCCCGGAGACCAATAAAAATGCGCCATGTCACTCAAAAAATGTACCGCACTCGATCCGAGCTCGGTAAGGATCCCTAAGCGTAACTGGACGGGAGAACTGTCCGGTGTCCGCACAGAATAATAGCTCGTGATTTTGTCATTGTATTCTTAAAAAAATGCTATCCAACAATCTTCCTTCTTATATTTTCAGGTGGCAAAGCATCATTATTATAATTATCATCACTGTTACTAAGCTCACACTTTGTCTTAGTTATGGTTTTCCTTTCATATCACTGATAAGATATCATAAGAAGAAAATATCAAAGAATAAGCAAAATACCACTGATTGGACTATTTTGCATCTTTCTGTAGGTGTCACCACTATTGCTGGAGGTAAGTGGAACAAAGGGGGCCATATGGATGGGCCCAGTGAAGATGCAAAATTTTCAAATGATTTTGAAGTAGTTTACATTGGAAGCAGCTGCTCTCTTTTGGTTGTGGATCGTGGGAATCAGGCAATTCGGGAAATCCAACTTCATTTTGATGACTGCGCATACCAGTATGAAAACAGTTTTCCACTAGGTAACTTTTGCTCTAGTGAATGCCACCAAAATCATTTTATTGGTCTGTGCCTTCACTTATAACGATATGGCTTTTATATTTTACTTTATATTGCAGGATTGGCAGTGCTCTTTGCAGCAGGGTTCTTTGGCTACATGCTTGCTTTGCTGCAACGACGTGTGGGAGTAATGATCTCATCACAAGATGTAAGTCTCTTTATACTTTGGATTTACTATCTAATGTTAGGGGTGCAAACTAGTCTAGTTGAGCTCGAGCCAGGGGTTGTTCGAGTTGAGCTCGACTACCTAATACCGAGCTCGAGCTCGACTCGTCTTTATGTCGAGCGGCTTGTCGAGCTCAGTCTCGAGCTCCGCTGTCAAACTCGTTGCGTCCATCGTCCCTCGATCGTCGTCGCGTCCGTCTTCCCAACCTCCACCATTGATATCCTTCGTCCCGAGGTCATCATCTTCTCCGTCATCTTCCCGAACTCCGGCGACGTCGTCCCGAGGACCCGAGCTCGTAGTAAAAAATGACGGACGTCGTCATCCATGTATTTTGCGTCGTCTTCCCGAACTCGCGTCTGTCGTCGTCGTCCAGAGCTTGTCCGCCGTTGAGATCCGCATGTGAACTCTGTCGATTAGGATTTCTTGCTCGCGAGCTCCGTGGATTAGGATTTCCGGCTCGCGAGCTCCGTGGATTAGGATTTCCCGTTCGTGAGCTCTTCCGTTGAGCTGCTTGTCGAGCCGACAAGTCGAGTCCGAGGCCTCTTCGAGCTCGATAAGCCTTCGAGCTCGACTCATGAGCTCGATAAGCTCAACTCGTCGAGCCTATTACCGAGTCGAGTCCGAGCCGACTCGCGAGTCAGCTTGACTCGGTTATACCCCTATCTAATGTTCATTTTAGAAACCATTTGTTGCAATAATCCGAGCTTAATTTCCTTGCGGTTGTAAGATTACTCCAAATTTATGTTCTAGTATGCCCATTCTCAAGAAATGTTGTTTTTTGCCAAGTTTACTTGGCATATGATTGCTGCCCATTATTTTCTGTCATCAGGCTAATTATCAAGAAATCCTGAAGGCTTCTGCTTCTATAAAATCACGCAGCTCTGTATTGCAGAAGTCAAGTTGGGAATCTGGAAGACCAACATTGCTCTCAACTGAGGATGATTTAAAGAAGCAAGATGAAGAAGAAGGCTTCTTGACCTCAATGGTAAAGCTTCTATCTGGTGCCAAATCATCCTTGGCTGAAATCGTTGGAGCATTGTTCAGTAGGAAAACTCAGGCCAGTGAACACCAAGTTGCTCATCGGCAGCAACAGCGGCCGAACTCATGGCCTGTGCAGGAGAGCTTTATCATCCCCGAGGAAGATGAGCCTCCGCCAGTCGAGGCTAAGACGCCAACCCCTCGTAAAACCTATGCCTTCATGTCCAAGAACCAAGCAAAGATCCACCAACTTCGGCAGGGGCAGGCTTACTTTAACCACTGGGATGGGAAGATGCAGCAACACCAACAACATAATCAGCAGCAGGTGCACCAGCACCAGCAGTATTCCTTGGCCCCGCAAACTTACTATGAGCAGAACTATGAGGCTACGAATGAGGTTGTCTTTGGAGCTGTGCAAGAACTGGATTGCAGTCCTCGTCCGGTGGAGTTTAAAGCAGAAAACTATAGGGACAAGCTCAATGATCAGTATGGCCTGCGCTCAAGGGTAGGTTACAATGCTTACTGCAATGGCTACTAAGTAATATCTGGTGTTTTGAATGTCTTAATTTCAATATACCCTGCTTTATATGATCAAACGTTCCTCTGGAAAGTTTAGCTCTTCTATAAGATTTTCCCATTTCTTCTGCTTATAGAAGCTAGAGAAAGATACTGCACGCAAGGTTGTAAAAAAAATACTCCTTCACTGTTTTATTGATTCTAGTTATCTCTATCCCTCTTAGTTATGCATTGTTGCACCTCATCATAATTTTTCTGCATTGGTATGAATCAAGTTCTTAGCACTTTCAACTTGGTGTAGATCTATGCTGGGACCTTACCAAAGCATAATTTAAATGGAGTATAAATTATGGGCCCTTTCATTTATTTGATAGGATTTTCTTTATGATTTGAGCTCTAGAGAAACTTCTGTTAGGAAATACTTGGAATTCCCAAATAAAACCTAACTATCTTGATGAAAACAACGAGCGATCCACAAATCCAAAGGAAAAACTGGAAAAATCAGAAAAAATAGTAATTTTATTGCGATCATCAAACTAATGGAAGAAAAATAATAAGATACAATATATCCTCTATTCGAGAGGAGGATCCATCTCTTCCAAATCTCTAGACGCCGTTAGAGCTCAAAAACCTAAACCTAAGAGATCTCAAAATTTCAGCCAAATTCAAGATGTCCTAACCTTAGGAAAAAAAATTATTTAATGCATGCAATCCAAAAGGAAATCTCTAAATAGTCCCTACATTCAAATTTTCCTCCTAACTCCCTAAAAAATTCTCCCTTGGATCCGGGTGTGCGTTCGGCGCGTACAGGAGAGGCGGAACTTTTGCCTCTATTCCGCCTTGATCGATCTCGTGTGGATCGACTGGACCAGTCCAGTGGACCGGTCTAACAACTTCTCTACTTAAAACACGTGCTCTCATGGATGATCATCTTGCTCGTCAAGGGCGAATTGCCCACCCTCAAAATTGAATCTTACTTATAAGGTAGGGCAATTTTGAAAATTGGCCCTCCTAAAAATTTTGTTTTCCCTTATCTTAAAGAGTATTGCCTCCATCTAATTATGATCCAATTCATGCAGCCAACTACTCATTGTTTCTCATGTGCACTACTTCATTTACCTTGTTCATGTTTGTGGGATTGCTGCTTGGACTCTGCCTCCCATGCCACCTACTAAAAGATCCCGCCACCTACGCTTCTTTCGATGCTTGCCGCCAGCTTTGTCCACCCTCAAAAATAAAGTTTGTTCTACCCATGTTGCTCGTCATGATCATGTTCCTCATCTTGCTCCACATCAACAATGCTCATTGTGCTTTTGTTATTAAATATCTTGCTCGCTAAAATAGTGTTGGATGTGTAGTCCACTAGGGTTTCAACTTCTCATAGTTGAACAATGCGATGGGCACATTGAAGATATCTATGTACAAATATATCACTTTTGGACCATCATGTGCTTGCTTTGCACCTTTGGTCATTCTTATGAAAACATCTATTTTTGCCACCCTTACTGTCAGATTTGAACTTAGTTTTATACTATCTTCCTTGAAGCTATATTGAGACATTCAAAGAGTTGCACAACGCCAATCCTTCTAACCTTATCATCCCCATCAATTCGGAAAAGCAAGTGAAAGAAACTTCCAGTCAAAATGAGGAGAAAGGTCTTCCCTTTCAGACTAATCAACTGCCACTAAAGTACTCTGAACCTTTTCACTCTCTTCTCTCAACGACTGTCTCTTTAATTCATATCTATATTTCTTCTAGCGGTCTGGCTGCACCCTATTGTGAAAGGAACATAGGCATCATGGGTGTGATGACTGAAGGAAGCATCTAAGGGCTGACTAATTAAGACATTCTGGGTAGAAACTGAGCCATTTTCTGTACTGATCCGTGCTTTAACTTCTGAACTTAGGGAACAGAGAGCCCGGAAAACATCAACTCTTTTGGGGTTGGAGCTGGTAGAGTTTCAGCCAAGGTTTTCTTAGATTTCGTTTGGGACGGCTTTCTCAATGCTTCTTAAAACGACTTTTTAGTACAAAAAAAAGTACTAGAAAGACACTTTAAGAAGCAGTAAGAAAGCCGTCCCAAACAAAATCTTAGTCATTGAGTTTTACATCATATATTTACTTTTGGTGCGTTCTGATTCGCCTCCGAACGACGTCCTTATCCGCACAGAATAACTTTACCTCAAATAGACCTTTACACTCAAGTTTTTGAGAGTATGGTCAACTAAAAGTCTTTTAAGGTGGTTGAGCCCAATCAAGTGGGTGTGATAGATCTGGGCTTGTGATTGTGAGGTCTCTCTAAAATTTAATTATGACTTTGTTTTCATTTTTAATTGTTATCCTCAAATCTATTCAGATAATTCAAATCAATGACCTTAAAACTTATTAAGGATTTGTTTCGGATAATTTTCTAACTGCTTTGATTTTCATACCGTAATTATATTTTTGTTTAATTATTATTATTGTTTGCTGCTTTCTCATTGCTTTTTTGAGTTGTTATCATTAAAATTCAAAAAAGTATAATAACAAGGCAAATAAATAGAATGTTTTAAAATTTAGATTTTGACTTCATTTGAGACGACTTTTCATTTTTATACTAAAAAAGTGCTTTGAGAAGCAGTTAAAAAATTATCTAAAACAAAACCTATATTTATTTTGGTTAGTTTCAGGTTTGAAAATTTTGACCCAATTATTAAATTTTGGGTATGGTGCGTGTTAACCCGAAATTGAATTGACTACTATTCATGCTCGGATTAAATAGGTCATATCAGGTTAAATATAAAGTGCCTTGGTCTTCTCGATCCAAATACTTGCAAGATCCATATGACGAGTAGGTTAAATGGGTTGGGTTCATGTTAGATGAGTATTAGTCAAGTAGGATTCATGTCTAATATTTTGACTTGTATAAAAAACATATTCGGTTCAGATAATGCAGATTCGAGCCGGGTCAACTTCAGCTCTAATTTGAACCTAATATATCAATTCGAATTGACCCTCCTATTGACTATCATCTATTCAAGAGTGAAATGAATTAGACCCTTGATGAAAATATGATAGCGAATGATAGGGGTGTCAATTCGGGTCAGCGGGTCGGGTTCGGGTCGAACTCGGAATTGATCCGGCACTGTTCGGGTCAACCCGAACCGACCCGTTTTTAAAAACGGGTCAGATTTTCGGACCCGACCCGACCCGATTCGGGTCTGGGTCAACCCGACCGGACACGAATGACCCAAAGTTGATCTAAAATTGCTAATTTTCGGGTCAAAATCGAGTCAATATTCAATTTTCGGGTCAATCTCGGTTTTTCGGGTCAAATATGATTTTTCGTGTCACTTTCAGGTCAATTTCGGATCAATTTCGGGTTGCTGGGTCTTCCCTAACCCGACTCGATTTTTAAAATGTGTTGATTTGTTCAACCCGAACCCGACCCGTTTCGGGTTTGGGTTGACCCGAACCCGGATTTTTCCAGGTCGGGTTTCGGGTCGTGGCAAATATTGACACCCCTAGCGAATGAATTAGGCATTTGATGGAAATATGATAGCGAACGAGATTTTTGTCGTGTACAAAATGTAATTAATGAAAAACCGAACTATATTGCAAAGATTTTTTATTAATTATCATTTGTGATTAGAAATTAAATAAATTCTCCACTTGTTAGACAATAAAATATTCATATTTATTAATAATTATAAAACTTTTAACATCTTTGTCTCCTAAGATAGAAATGGCAGAACAGTAAATAAGAGCATATGTGAAGGATATTGAGACTAAACGAAGCATTAACTGCAGACAATTAATTTTAGCATATTTGAGTAGTTTTTATTTTTATTTTTGTATATTTTATGTGGATTCTATAAATTTACCATTTAGATTCTGGTCGCATTTAATGCAAAATCCAAATCAATCACAATCAATTAAATTTATTTTTAATACTTACATATATAACATTCAAATTTTAATTATTTACAATTGACCAGCCTTCTATCTACTATTATTATTTTTTAATGAAATTATAAATAAAATGTTAAATTTTATAATAAAAATTAAATTTATATTGTTGTTTTTATTAAATTCGTAATGATTTAATTATGGCTCGCATAAATGTGCATTCGATAGTTAAAAATTTAATATTGATAGAATTGTAAATAATTAAAATTTAAATGTTGTTATGTAATATTTTTTATTTTAGATTTCCGTAATATAAAGATTAATTAATTATTATAAATTTATTTATTCTTTTGTTTTTTTTTTCTTTTTAAACTAATAATAATAAACTAATATAGGATTATTTACGTAAAAAATAATAGTAGGATACTCTGATCATAATATTTTTTAAAATTATAATAGAAAATCTGAACTTTCTAAAATTTTATTTTCAAGTTGATCATAAATTTAACATACCATAATTGTTCGACAAATTTTATACTTATTGTCAACTATCTAATGCAACGACGGTGTTAAAATTAAGAAAAAAATAAAATTAAAAATTAAAAAATTTAATTATTTTTCTCTAAAAAAAATGAAAAAAGGTCGTGATAATCATAAAAAAATATTAAATGTATATATTAAATACGAAGTAGAATTTTTTTTTTTGGGTTCAATCACTGTCAACGTGGAAGATTAGAAACCCCCAATCTTATTTAGTTGCCTATGTGGCTGTTTAAGGGACACACACAGTAATGTTTCTCACTTCAAAGGATTTCATTCATGATAGGGTTAGTAAAATTAGTAGAGAAACTCAAAACTTTCTAAGAAATCCACTAAATTGTTGCTATAATTGTTAATATCCAAATTATCATTCAATCAATTGTCAATATGTATAATAAAAACATTTGGATTCAAACTCTTAGGCTACTCAATGGTTGATGACTAGTAGTTAATAACAAAAGATATATCATTAGAAGATTTATATGAACAAATATGAATTCCTTTGCAAATTTTTAGATCTTAAAGCAGTAAAATATTTCAAAAAATGATTTCTATAATAATTAAGTTTGAGATAGTTCAATTTTCTGCTAAATAAATGTAGTTGTGATAGAGAGATGAAGAGTTTAATGTCTTGACTTTATATGAATATCCAACACACACAGATAAAAAGGAATACAAGAATCATAAGAGGCACCATATTTTTAACATAAAAATTTTAGGAAAGAGAAAAAATATGAGGTCAGGCCTAGTTAAAATGTTTATTCTATAATTTGTCATTAATTAC